TTTTTGTAGTTTTCTTTTTATAAACCAAACTAGTGATAAAACAAGAAACTAAAAGATTCAATTGCAAGATCTAAAGATATACCTTCATGCACTCACCTCCCCGGCAACGGCGCCAGAAAAGAGCTTGATGTCTACTGCGCAACTTTATTCTTGTAGACACGTGTTGGGCCTCCAAGCGCAGAGTTTTGTAGGACAGTAGCAATTTTCCCTCAAGTGGATGACCTAAGCTTTATCAATCTGTGAGAAATGTAGGATGAAGATGGTCTCTCTCAAACGACCCTGCAACCAAATACAAGAAATCTCTTGTGTCCCCTACACACCCAATATAATGGCAAATTGTATAGGTGCACTGGTTCGCCGAAGAGATGCTGATAGAAGTGTAATATGGATGGTAGAAATATACTTTTATAATCTGAATAAACAAAAACATCAAGGTACCAAATAGTAAACGGGCACAAAAACGGTATTGCAATGCTTTAAAATGAGGCCTAGGGTCCGTACTTTCGCTAGTGCAACCTCTCAACAATGCTAACATAGTTGGGTCATATGATTATCCCTCAAAATGCAATAAAGAATCACTCCCAAGTTCCTATTAGCGGAGAACAAAAGATAGAAATTGTTTGTAGGGTACGGAATCACCTCAAAGCTATTATTTCCGATCGATCTATCCTAGAGTTTGTACTAAAATAACGCAAGCTATTCTTTCCGATCGATCTAATCAAGAGTTCGTACTAAAATAACACCAAAGCAAATTCATATTCATAATACTCAATCCACACAAAGAACTACAGAGAGACCCCAAAGTTTCTATCAGAGAAAAGATAATAAAAACGTGCATCAACCCCTATGCATAGATTACCCCAATGTCATCTCGGGAATCCGCTAGTTCAGTGCCAAAACATATATCAAGTGAATTAATACGATACCCAATTGTCACCTCAAGTATTCATACCGCAAGACATACATCATGTGTTCTCATATCTGAATATTCAATCCGACAAGACAAAACTTCAAAGGGTAAAGATTCAATTCATCACAACAAGAGTATAGAGGGGAGAAACATCATATGATCCATCTATATTAACAAAGACCATGATATAGATCACGAGAGAGAGAGAGAGAGAGAGAGAGAGATTAAACACATAGCTACTGGTACAAACCCTCAGCCCTGAGGGTGGACTACTCCCTCCTCATCATGGTGGCCGCCGGGATGATGAAGATGGCCACTAGTGATGATCTCCCCCTCCGGCAAGGTGCCGGAACGGGCTCCCAATTTGTTTTCGCTAGCTGCAAAGGCTTGCGGCGGCGGAACTTCCCGTTTAGGTTAACCCCGAAGGGTTTCAGAATATTTGGGAATTTATAGTGCAAAGAGGGGGTGCGGGAGGCCACCCAGGTGGGCACAACCCACCTGGGCGCGCCAGGGGGCCCTGGCGCACCCTGGTGGGTTGTGCCCCCCTCGGGGCACCCCGAGGTGCTTCTTTGGCCCACTGTTGGCCTTCTGATCCATAAGAATCTCCGTGAAGTTTTGTTGCATTTGCACTCCCTTTGGTATTGATTTTCTGCGATGTAAAAAACAAGCAAAAATCAGCAACTGGCACTGGGCACTGGGTCAATAGGTTAGTCCCAAAAAATGATATAAAGTTGCTATAAAATGATTGTAAAATATCCAAGAATGATAACATAACGGCATGAATACTTCATAAATTATAAATACGTTGGAGAAGTATCATTGGATCCTAACATGATTCCGGTTCTGCCTCCATGTGAGTTTGGTATACACATTTTTTTAAATGATCTATATTCCCTATCTAAAAATACTTGTTATTCATACCTGCTGAACTTGTTTTTCCGTGTGAGTTTGGTATACACATTTGTTAAATGATCTATATTCCCTACCTAAAAATACTTGTTATTCATACCTGCTGAACTTGTTTTTATAATTGACAGCTTATTTTCTCTCTTCCCAAGAAATACAAAAGATAATAGACGGCACCTACTACAGTCATGGCGCAGAGCTAACTTGGGAGGAGAAAAATTATCTTATCTCCTTTGTTAAAGACGTTCTTCAATTTAAGATCATCTATGGAGTTGGGAAAAAATATGGTAAATACGTGCCACTAGTCCACGAGTTGTGCGAGGCTAACATTCGTGCTAGTATCATGGTAAGATTTTTACTATTGTGTCACTAGTTAGTCCATCTTTTTCATACATTCTTCTGAAGTAAACTTCATTGCTAACTATGTATGTTACTATTATGCTCTTCAACAGAAGATCCCAGATGTGGTTGTGCCTCCATTTATGTTTGTCGAAGGTGAGATGACAGTTGTTTGCGTACGACCATGGTCGGAGGGTCTCAAATATCATACTCGACCTCTAAAACAGATGGAGGCCTCAAAATCAAGGCTTGGAGAAAAATAGTGGCTGAGCGAAGGCCACAAAATGGAGACAGTTGGATCTCTATGCTGCATAACGGAGAAGGAGGGGTTTTCTATTTTATGCTATGCTACCCGAGAGAGAGTAGTAGGTCCTGCTACCTTACCTAGTGCAGTTGGTTAACTTGTGATGATCATAATGGTGAGATTGTTATATCACTAGCACCTTACCTAGTAGTGGTTAACTTATGATGATCATAATGGTGAGATTGTTATATCACTACGATCAAGATGAGTTATATATATGACTATGATGATGATGAGTTGTTATATATATCATTATGATGATGATGATATGAGTTGTATATCATTAAGATGGAAGAAACACATATTAGATTAAAGTGGATGTATCCAAGTGACCAAGTTGAATATGTAGGAATATATGTAGCGTAAAATATGTTTGAAATGAAAAATAATTAAATGGAAAACACGAAATTAAAAGGAAAAATAAACCATAATTCATAAACCCCTAATCCTTTTAGTCCCGGTTGGTGTCCCCCCAGCCCTCGGCGCCGGCTCGTGCCACGTGGTGGGCCTTTGGTCCCGGGCCGTGTTGAACCGGGACTAAGGGGGGGGGGGGTGCCTTTAGTCCCCACTCTTTAGTGACGGTTGCTGAACCGACACTAAAGCCCCTTACGAACTGGCACTAAAGCCTGATTCTGCACTAGTGTTCTACTAGGTCTAAATTAGACTCCGATGACTGTCCAAGATTCCGAGTTAGTATGCGAATGCCATATATAGTGCCCCAAAGTGGACCCTGCTTGTAAAATCTAGTTGGGTCGTGGGTCCGGCATGATAGTATTGGAATTAATATTCTTGCTTTGGTAAAAAAAACAGTTTGATGTGTGTTGTCTCGCCGCTATTTTGGTTGTGTAGGCCTTCGACCGTCGATGTGTGTTGTCTCGCCGCTATTTTGGTTGTGTAGGCAAGGAGCCTTCGACCGTCGATGTGTTTGAGGTGCCGCTTGCTTTTGATCCGTATATGGCGACACAATTGCTAATGAACTCTTTTGCTCTAAAAATATTCAAGTTTTCAGCACATTGTATGGAGGACGGAGCATCGACGCTGTGGATGGGGAAAAGGGAGCATGAGACAGGTGGACGTGAAGGAGTGGCCCGATCATGAAGAGGATAGAGGCTAGCGGGGTTTGCTGTTGGACCACGGCTCAGTGGGGCACACCTCAGCCCGGTACTACTACTGGCGGAGCTCGGCACGTTGCTGTTGGGGATGGGGGATTTCGACTATTTTCTATTAAACCACTTTTGAAAGAAAAAAAACCAGATTTTACTGAATTTTCAAAATGTTCACAGATTCATAAAAATCATTCACAAATTTTAAAAAATGTTTGAAAATTTAATAATTCTTCATGAATAGGAAAACAAATAATGAATTCTAAAAAATGTTCATTAATTTGTAAAAATGTCCATCTAGATCTTATCTAATTAGCTAGATTAATCTCGCAGATTTTGAGGCTTCGAACACATCTGGCTACAGTCGAAGATGTCCCTAATTCCATTTAGTGTTTGTCAATTTATTTGGGTCTTGGTCGCTGTCTTTGTCTTGGTCTTCTTGTTCGCCCTACCTTCGGAATCTTTGTAACCTTGAACAACGAATCTTGGTAAAAAAAATGGGGAAATAGGTTTTTTTTTTTTGAGACAACCAAATGGGGAAATAGGTAAACCTTGAAACCGGGGGTGACACATTTATGGAAGTGGGTGCTATGGATGTAGGCCCCTTTTCATCTTTTTCTGGGCTTTTTTGGGTCCTGGCCCGGGCCCTCTCGATGAAGGCCCACTTGGAGATAGAAAAAGGCCCAGCACCGTGTCTGGTCATTCGACCCGGATCGGACCGCCTACACAGAAAGTAGCTGCTCTCAGTTCTCAACAGAAAAAAAAAAGCTGCTCTCTCTCGCGTGCGGCACCGGCGGACAGAGGCGGCGTCCCGGCGGCGCTCCATATAAGGTGACTCCTGCAACTACTTCCCTCTCTCTCTCCTTGACTCCAGTCTCCCTCGTCCTCCTCCAAGTTCGATTCAACCCCGCCGCACGGACCACTATTTCTCCATATCCACCCCCCGCCCCTCGCCTCTCCCCTCCCTCCGGCTTAACCGCGGCGGCGAAGACCTGAGCTCTTCTCCCTGCCCCCTTCTCCGACCAGCCGCGCCACCCCTCGCCCTGCTGCGCCTCTTCATCCCCCTCCCCTCCTCCGGCGGCCCCCATCTCGCTGCTGCTCCCCGCGTCTGACGGCAGCCGCTTCTGCTCCCGGACCTCCCTCCCCCACGGCCAGCTGTTTCTATGTCTGCTCCCCTTTGCTCCAATTCATGAAAATATATGTGGCATGTTCTAATCTACTTGTTCGATGGTGCCATTCACCATATTTTTTTGTCCCAATTTTAGGGAACACTTAGATTCAAAATTTAGCAAACCGACAAGATTGACTGAATACTTGCGTCTATAAGATTGGTCAATTAATTTTGGAAGTTTGGTTAGTGGACATTGATCTATGTGCAGACTCATTCCTTTTCCGTGCCCTGTTGTGGGACTTAACTTTTCTGCTTTTTTATTTAAAGATGGATGCCACAGCCCTTCAATATGAAACCCAGAAGTTGGTGCAGCAATTGGAAGCACAGAAGACTGAAATGCATGTGCTGGAAGCTAAGTTCAAGGAGTTGAGGAATGAACAATCTTCTTATGACAATACTCTGATTTCCCTGGATAAGATGTGGAATCAGGTTCTATCCCCTGAGTCTCATGTAAACTCTGTTTTACGGTTCTTTTCCGGTTTGTAATGCTTCTTACTAATATATGTTAATTATAGCTTGTTGATGATTTAATTCTGCTTGGAGTTCCATTTGGTGGCGGCTTGAACAATTTGCCTGCACTTGACCATGAAGAGTTATCAGAAGGTTGCTGGCTTATTTCTTTAATTGTTCAATGTTGCTTTCTGAGATGTGCTTTTTCATTTCAGTAGCGATGTTGCCTTAGCTGATTGTGTGTTCTTTTTTGTTGCTCAGAATCCATCGAGTCGTGTCCTTCTGATGAAATTTTTCTCTTCATGCTCTTGAAGTCCAAGAATTATGGAAAAAAGGACGACAATAGCTTGTTGGAATTCGCTGAAGAAGCTCTTGCTTTGCGCCGTTCGGCAACACTTGCTCTGATGAGGTCCCTTCAAGAGGCTATTGCTGCACAACATGCTAGAAGTGAATATTTGTCATTAGCTTTAAATGGAGGGAAATCAAATGAAGGTAAAGACAAAAAGTAATATCTGGCTTTTCCCCTCCATTTTTTTTCAGTGCACCTTTATTATTTGCTAACTACCTATCTGCTTGAACTTTCATTATTTAATTTAGATGTTGTTGTTGCCCTTCAAAACCATAATGATCACTTGAAAGAGGTGGTTGGCAATGTCCGTGAAGCTATTTCTATTGTCAATGAGAAGCATAAAAGGTATCTGGATGAGATTGAGGCTTTCAAAAGCGGCTACTCGAAAGAATTGCAGGAAATCCAGCATCTTTCAGGTGTTAAGGGTGCGTTTGGTTGCAAGGGCGGTCATGAATGGGTTGGGATCGTTCAGAAAATAGACATGTTTGGTTATAAAGCACATGAATGGTTCGAGCCAAAAAAAGAGAATATGCCATGAAGATGCTAAACCGTTCCACCCAACCAAATCGGTCGAATCAAATGGCCACCCTTTGCATGCATGACTATGTGAGCATGACTGGTGGTCCCGTCCTAAATAATTAGCTATACCACTTATATTCAGCCAAACACGTGAATTGAATGGTTCAATCCCAAAAAAATTGAACGGTCCCAACCCATTCATACGACACCTTCAACCAAACGCATCCTAAAAATGTCATTCCTTTCCTCATTTGATATATTTTTTAAATTTTGTCTCGTGTGCATATCTGGGCATTCACAGTTATTATCTTCTCCGTAGTTACCAGATTCACTAAACCACCCTCTGAACCCCAAACCCCAATCTCGATTGGGGTTCGAGTTTGATGCCAATCGGTAAGGATGCGCTGACCGGTCGTTCAGGTGGACCATTAGATTCCAACCAAGGAGATTGAGAGAAAAACGGAAGGAATTGCCATGCAGCTATCTCATGTCGAGTAGATCGAGTTGAACGTCACCATTGGGTGCTCTCGAGTAGGTTGGCATGGTATGGGCTGCGGCTGCAGCCATAGCCATGAACCATGTGTGGATGAGGTGAGGAAGATGGAGTCGATAGAATCCCTAAGGAAACCTTTTTGCAAGCAGATCAAAGAAACTGGAGGGGTAGCGCTCCATGCTTGGCAGGGTAGGCAGTCACGATGCTTATTAGGGATGGGATTTGGTAGTTGGGACCCAGGATCGTTTATGGGCTGTGTGGGCTGACTAGGCCCATTCCTTGCTTTGCCTATTTTCCAATGTTTCTGTGTGCAGAACCATGTGCTACTTTAGTGTTTGTGCCTAAAGATCTAGTGTTCACAAACCCTAACCTCCGATTTGCCAAACCCTGATCTCTGATTTGCCGAACCCGACCTTCGATTCGCCGAACCCCGATCTCTGATTTGACGAACCCGACCTTTGATTCGCCAAACCCCGAAATCTGATTTGCCGAACCCGACATTCTATTCGCTGAACCCCAATCTCTGATTTTCCGAACCCGACATTCGATTCGCCAAACCCCGATCTCTGATTTTCCGAACCCGACCTACGATTCGCCGAACCCCAATCTCTGGCTTCCCGAACCTGATCTCCGATTCACGAATCAGAGATGTACAGCGCCTAGTGAATCCGATACAGGCTGAGGTAGCTAATCGTGAAGCCGAATAGCAAATCGCGAATCAGGTAACAATATACAAATGCATTTGGCTTAATTTTAAAACGTACCATTTCCTTCTGTCATCTGGATGATTAAAAGTTGCTCCCCGCCCCCCTTTTTTTAGACTAAAGTACTGTTCTGTTGGCAAGGCGCGCAAATGCACAGCCAGCCCACCCGCGTTCGAGTCTTGGCTCGCACGCGTGATGCTCAAGGTTGCCTCTTCTATTAAAATATGCCACCAAGGACTAGTCCTGGCTGGTCCCTTTTTTTTAAAGCTTCCCCTTTTCACAAAAAGCTCGGCTTTGCATTGTTGACAAGATTGACCTTGCATCACAGTTTGCATATTTCATACGGAAATAGTTTGTGGCATTAATTGTGCTAAAACTTTCTGCCAATACAACTGGAAGAAATGTACTAAGATATGTTAACGGACCCTTACCAAATAAATAAATAAAACTTATCTTGTTCAGTGCTTCCAGATTTTGAGCTATAAAACTGGTCAAGCTTTGATTCTAAAGCAAAGCAATCCATATTCATGTGCTTATGCAGGAGAGCTAGAGGAAACCATGGCGGAGCTTGAGGAAAGTTGACGGAAGTTGGTTATTCTCCAGTTGCAGAGGCATGGAGGTTCGCTAATGAACATATCTGGTCCAAACACTGTGAATGGTGCTGTTTCGGCTGATAAATCTTCAGACAAAAACATGGGCTGGGGAGATCTCAAAGATGCTGTTGTTGAAGCTGAGGTACTTTTAACCAGACTGAATTCCATTGCATATATGCTTTTTATATGCCTTATCTGCTCAGCATTCATCTTATAGTATAATTTGTCCAATGGAGGGCAGACCCTTGCAGGGGACCGCCTGTTTGAACTCCATGAGACTCAAGAGGATAATCTCATACTGTCTAAGCAGTTAGAAGATCTTCAGGTTGGCACCTTCTTTGTAATGGATGGCTGACATATTTGTTGTACTTTCAAGTTGTATCCTGGGTCTTCTTATTCCTATAATCTGCATTCTGGTGTTATGTGTCCAGGGTCAATTAAAAGACGACAACTATATTTTCACATCAAAACCATATACAATTCTTAGCGATCAGTTACATCATCTGAATGCTGAGATAGAACGATACAAGGGTTTGGTTGAAGTATTACAGGTAATATGCTTTTCCTCTGTTGTGCTGTTGTTTTGCAAGGTATTTTCTCTTGACCAGCTTTTCCTTTCTTTGACTTTAGAATGATAAGAACCAGTTCTTGCAAAGGGAGAAAGAAATGTGTGCAAAAGGAGAATCCGTCGACAATGTTAAACAATCCATTACCGCTTATGAGGCCAAAATCGAAGAACTGGAACATCAGATTCTGAAATCCATGGCTGAGAAGAATGATCTTGAGATCAAAGTTGAGGAATCATTGCAAGATTCAGGTATTGAGGCCTGAGTTAGTGGCTTGCTAAATCGAGATCTGGGTTAACCTCCTGCAGTGTAATATATACTTTGTTCTCAATTCCACCACTGTCTAGGTAAAAAAGACTTCAAGGATGAGATTCATGTCATGGCTGCAGCACTCTCCAAAGAGATGGAAATGATGGAGAATCATTTGAATAGATCAAAGGATGCGGCTTCTGAAGCACTTGCATTACGTGAAGAAGCTGAATCGTTGAGAACCTTGTTAGCTAAGAAGGTATGTCATTGATCTGGATCTATCCATGTTTCGAAACTGGATCGCAGTCTGCATCTGTTGCCATGTCTGTTAATGCCACTGAAACTTAACATGTTTGTACTTGGTAGTGAGATTGCCACACGGTGTGTAATGAAAAATAAATCATTTATGTTTCTTCATCGTGATTCCTGTACATATTTACTCAACTTTGCATTGATTTCATCTGATAGGATATTTTCTGCATTCATATATCTGACACATAGATTAAGTACAAAGAGCAAGCACCACATACTGAACTAGTCCATTCTTACCGTGTCATGAACCTAGTTGAACAAGGGGTTGGAAATGGAATAAGATGGATTAAGGTAGAACGACATTAGATTGAAGGGGTAACCAGTTGGGGTAGTAACACTAGAATAGCTGGTCAAGGGAAGTTTGTTTACTGATCGCCTTCTACAAAGAAGCAAACTTATCAGTTAAATAGTCGACTGCTAGCACATAACCAACTCAATTTAAACCAACCAAATCAAAAATATAGCATGTTCTTACAGATGCACATATGTGACTTTTTTGAGAAGTTATCCAGATGCACAAGTATCTAAAACCTAGCTCAAGCAATCACCTCTGTATGTACGTTTACTTTCCCCAATATAGTATGCAGAAGTGTTTATGTTTGTCATTCAAAATATTACTTACTTACTTACTTACTTACGAAGCCTTTTATCCCAAACAAGTTGGGGTAGGCTAGATATGAAACCCTTTCACGAGGACTTCCCAGGAGGTCACCCATCCTAGTACTACTCTCGCCCAAATGGGTTTCATACCCAAAAGACTGGCTAGTTTTTACGTTGGCTCGCCAAGCCTATCACAACCCTTAGATATGAAACCCTTTCACGAGGACTTCCTAGGAGGTCACCCATCCTAGTACTATTCTCGCTCAAATGGGTTTCATACCTATGGGACTGGCTAGTTTTTACGTTGGCTCGCCAAGCCTATCACAACCCTCCTCCTTTACCCGGGCTTGGGACCGGCTATGCCTAGAAGACATAGGCGGAGTTTTTGTCATTCAAAATATATTTGTCATAAAATTTATTCTATGTTATTTTCCTGAATATTTTATCTCTAAAGTATACGAAAAGTAGTAGTTAATTAGTTGTATCAGAGACCGTGTCTGATCTCCAAAATGAGAAGTGAAGAGAAAGGTTATATTATCTTCAGGCTATCTGTGCTTTATTAAAGCTGGATGATTATTTACAAAAAACAGGATTAACTCAATACTCTCGGGTATACTTGTGTACTTTGATGCTGTTATATGCTTGCACTGTTACATGTTTTTAGGATCATTGTTAGATCTTCAAACAATATTATTCACAAACTATTTTCGTAGAGTTTTATCTTCTGAACTATACCTGAGAAATTGTGAATAGACCTCTAGCATAATCGAAACATCTGATGGAAGTATCTCCAATTTTCAGATCAGTGAGCAGAAGGAAATATCTGATAGATACAATACACAAGTCTCTGAGATTAAGTCCCTCAAAGAATTGGTATGGTATCATGAAAATCTCTCGTCTTCTAATTGTGCCGACAGCCTGAGATATATTTGCGTTCTCTGAAAGTGTTTGCTTTTCCCTCCACCATGGTTCCCTCAGCTCGGAGAAATTTTTGAGTTATTACACAAGCAATTATATCTGATTTGTTATTACTTATTAGCGTAGACTCACCCCATCGCTGGCCAAAGGAGCAACTTGGATAGCAAGTAGCTTGGGCCTTAAGCCAATTATACATAAGGAAATATAAAATTAGTTACGTTAGAGTGAGATATGATTAAATAAGGTTAGATCTGTCAAGAGTAGTCCTTGCTGTCTCTATGTCCGTTAGGGTACATGCTACCTGTGAAGATAGCATGTACCCTAAAAAGAGATAGCATGCACCATTAGGTTATCTCTACTTGTCATTAAATAAGGTCAGATCTGTCAATATTAGTCCTTGCTTGATACCTGGTTTCTGAAAATATATTATGGATTAATACTGAGTTCTTAGTCTTTCAAGCATTGCTGTATATTCAGCTTTTGCAAATAGCTACCTGAAATTGTTGTTATTTTCCAACTGTGGGCAAACAAACATCTGGTAGCGAATATGCAACTACAGTATGGGCCCTTAAATTTAAAAAAATTGTGGGCAAACAAACACCTGGTAGTGAATATGCAACTAAGAGAAGTTACATATATGAGCATAAATATAAAAATCTTCCATTTTCTTAAAAAAAAACAAGTATTGCCCTTCGATGGTCCGAAGCCAAGCTCTTGCAACTTTGCACTGTGTGTGGATTGCCATTCATGTTTTCTGAATGAAATTTCAACAGATTGAGACGTTGGAAAAGGAAAATCAGGAGTTGGAATTTATTGTGGATATGTATGGGAAAGAATGTTCTGAGTCGAGGTATGACTTGATTGTTGTTGTTATCACTTATCAGTTGTGTTGCTTTTTGATGATTGTGACTTATGCTATTCTCTTAGATGATCACGTAGTCCTCCATCAGTTTCTTGGAAGTCTCTCTTAGAAAATGTTTTTTACTTGGGATTTACAGTTTACCACACCTTGGGAACAAGAGATAAAGTTGACACATCCCTTTGTGATTCTTAAAGTTCTACCATCATTCAATGCATTTTTTTCTTCTGAATAAACATGTTCTACTGTATGCCTAAACGAAGCCCATCTTTACTCCAATCCTCAATTTCAGCTATATACTTTACATATGAAAATTTGCGGTCAGGTTAAATCTATCAAGTTGTTAAAACATGTGATTGTTAAGCTTCATGCACTAGCCAACGCAACCAAAAGTCCAAACTGATGGAAAGGGCTAGGCAATCCACATATACACTTCAACAGTGATGAGAGTGTTAATTTGGATGCATCTGCTAACACTAGCTGACATACGTGCTATGTGACATTTGTAAATGCCGAAAGAAAAATATACTAGTTTAGATCGCTGAAAATAGTGTTCAAAATGGCAAGGAATAAAAATCATAGATCATATAGGCTAAGAACTCAAAAAATGAAAAAAAAACATAGGTTGATTACCTCTACGCTTTCCCCTTTGAAAACGATCCATAGAATGATTGTCAATTCACAACTTTCACCAATTTTGCATACTAATATACTTTGCATCATTTGTTAGATTCTTATTTTACTCTACTGTGAATCTAGGACAATTACAGAGATCAAGGAATCAGAAAATCAAGCTCGCAAGCAGGCTGAATATTTGAGAACTAGTCTAGAGGAGCATAGTCTTGAGCTTCGTGTAAAAGCAGCAAATGAAGCCGAAACTGCATGCCAGCGAAGCCTTTGCATTGCTGAAGCAGAACTAGAAGAGTTAAGGACCGATGTAGATGCATCTGAAAGGTCAGTTATCTTCTCCTAGTGACAATTCGATATGTGTTCTCCAGTTTACTGGGATTGAAATAGTTCTCCAGTTACTTGGATTACTATTTCAAACGAGATTTCCATTGAGGGGATCAGGATCTTAATTACTGCAGTTGTTTCATCCTGGTTGCTGCTATTGATGATGTGAAAGATGTTCAGTGTGTTAAATACATACTTACTCCGTCCAGAATTAGTTGACGTTCAAATTGATGTATCTAGCATCGAAATACGTCTAGATACATCCGTTTGAGCGTTAATTAATTCCGTATGGAGGAGTACTATTTAATAACGGTTAACATAGTCCTTTATAGGTTTCAAAACCGCCCATTTTGCCGCTCAATGGCCAATATACTCCCTTAACCCCCCATACTTGATCACAACTTCCATTGGAAATCCGAGCATATACATCTTGTTCCTAAATTCCAGTTACTAATTTCTTAATAAACTCATAAGCTCAAAATGCACAAACAAACTGGACTTTCTTTTTTGCAGCCGTAAACCAGCCCAGGTGAAATCAGAACTGGTTAGGTTCCAGTTTAACTCCTGCAACTGGTTCCTGCATCTTCTAGTAATACATATATTTTGTGCCTTCCTGTCCTGTTTGGCCAACTAGGTTAAAACCTAATTCGAACTAAAATAATCCTCGTCCTGCTATCAAGTAGTTTAAACGAGCTTTTATAGTTTCCTACAGCTGGCAGTATATGTTATGTTTGTGAACCAGTAGATATTTTATTGTTCAATGAGGGCTTGGTATTCTGTACCATCTCTGCAGCTTCATCCCTTGTATGATCTGTTTTGCAGAGATGTTCTGGAACTCAAGGAGGCAATAAGAATTAAAGAAGCCGAAGGAGATGCTTATATCTCTGAAATTGAGGTTAGCTCATTTTTAGTTTTCTTATCAGCAATTATTTGTGTGTGTGTGTGTGTGTGTGTGTGTGTGTGTGTGTGTGTGTGTGCGAGTGTGTTTGAAAGCAAATGATGCTGTCACTGCAGACAATTGGTCAAGCATATGAAGACATGCAGACACAAAACCAGCATCTTCTTCAACAGGTTGCCGACAGAGATGATTTTAACATAAAGGTGCGTATCTGATACCATGGTAGCTCTTCGCTGCCAGCTTGCTGTACTTTCTGTGGTGGAATCCATGCTTCTGCCTCGCCGGTGTTTCCCCTATGCTGGCGGCGTCCCTCAATATAGCAACACACCACTAGGATCCTGTTACATGCTCCATGTGTACAAGCATGGTGACAGCTGCGGTTGTTGGGCTAGGTGGCCTGGTGTATTTCTCTTTTCCGTTTTCCATCTCTATCTGTTAGCTACTTACTCCAGTTGCTGCTACTTGTTGATTCATATAGTGTGGCCTTGCAGCACGTCTCTAGCTAGCACCTAGATGCTGGGGCAGTAGTCCAGTGCATTACCTTGCCTTATTAACCATGCACTTCAACCTCACATCATTTATACTCTGTTGCATTGCCAGAAGATATGTTGTTTGCTTTTCTTATTAGTTCCCGTCAGTAACTTGCTTCTCATCTAACAGCTAGTATCAGATAGTGTGAAGACAAAGCAAGCCTCTGCTTCCCTTCTCTCTGAAAAGCATTTGTTACAGAAGCAACTCCATCAGGTTAACAGTTCACTGGAGTCATCTAAACAAAAACTCGCCCGTGGTGAAGAGCAGGTAATCTCTGACTCATGCCCTATGTGTTCTTCAATAGTTCAATTTGCTTCTGCCAACAGTATTTGAAGATCATGTCAAAGCGAATATTGTATTACAAGAATATATTTTGTGTGTGTCTGTGTTTACCACTGAGCTGGTTTTGAAGTGTCTTTATTTGAATAAACCTTACAGATGAAAGCCTATGTCGCACAAGCTATAAAAACTTCTTCAGAGAACAGGCATCATGCAATTACCATTGAAAAGACCCTGTTGGAGGTATCTGAAGCAGAGAAGGAGCTCAAGTGGCTTCGGTCCGCCGTTGGATCCTCTGAGAAAGAATATGAGCAAAACCAGAAAAAAATAGCTGAGCTCAGAACAGAGCTGGAGCGTGAGAGGTTAGGCTTGCTGGTGTGGTGTTAATTTTTGGTTCCAAGTTGGTCTTGCTGTAATGCCACCAGGGCTTGTTACATTCTCTTGCTATCTTATTATAGAAGCGAGAAGAGAAAGCTTGAGGAAGAATACGAGGAGGTGAAGAATGAAGTCATGGAGCTGACCTCCGAGAACGAAGAGGCTACTATCCAGAAGCTCCAGGATGAGATAAACGACTGCAAGGCTATTCTCAAGTGTGGCGTGTGCTTTGACCGGCCGAAAGAGGTAAATAATTGTCTGTTGAATCGCACAGCTTATTTTTTAATGATGCAGATTGGTGCGTGACTCAATTTTAGAAGCTGAGATCTACGCTTATTTCTATTACCATATCACCGAAGTTCCAGTTTCTCTGGTATGGTCTTAAACCTACGACCACCTACAGCTGAGTGCTGATTAACCTTCTATTCCTTGTTTGGTTGTTGTCAGGTTGTGATCACCAAATGCTTCCACCTATTCTGCTCGACATGTATCCAAAGGAACCTTGAGCTACGCCACCGGAAGTGCCCGGGGTGCGGCACCCCTTTCGGCCAAAACGACGTGCGAGAGGTGAAGATCTGAAGTCTCGGTGAGTTTGCCTTTGATGACCTGTGCCTCTGGACATCATCATCCATCTGCTCTCCGTGCTTGTGCCTCTTGTAGATATGTAATAATGGTTTCCGTTGTCCGTGGGGGCACTTATCCAGCAAAGAAGTAATAAAACCTAAGTAAGATAAATGAACAAGTGACAAAAAAGTGAAAAAGAAGTTTGTTGTAACTTTACCACCTGTTTGATGTTTGATTGCTGTGTGATCTCTTGCCTCTACTCGAGGCGATTGCAATGATGGTTTGAAGCGTGTTATTAGGAGTAAATAAGAAATGAATGGATGGTGAAGATTGTTTCTGCCTTAAAAAAGGTTGGCCTGCCTTATGTGTTTATCTGTAGATCATAAGCAACAGCTGTTTCTGCGGAGCTGCTCTTGCTGGAGTTGAGAGGCTCCTGTCCTGCTGCAGAACAAATATACATCAAGATGAGCAAGCTTGACGGGCAACTTCCTTCATAATTATTTGCCAAAATCATAGTTAAGAGTACAGAAGATGCAGATCATTCTCATTGAAAGAAAAATCATAGTTAAGATATTTTGAACATATAAAGATAGCAAACAGTTACATACTCCCTCCATCCCATAATATAAGAAAGTTTTTGACACTAGAGGGAGTACAAAACATTTTATTTATTGAAATATCTTTGGGGTTTTTCACGAACATTTTATTGACACTGAATATATTTTTATATATGTTTAAACATATTGTTTTGAAAATACTTTATTAAAAGTATTTTCTTAGGACTCTCATAAATTTGAAAATAATAATCTATAGAACATGATATTTTTTTTCGGCAATATCATTTATGGTTGCTATTTTCTATCGGCGCATCTTGTTTGCTTCCACCTCCCCCTTCCCTCCCTCCCTCCCAAATCATAAATTGCTGCGTAGCTCTAAGTAGGCATGCCATCGTTGTGCTATGCGCTAGGGGAAAAAAAATGCTCCGATCACCTAACGCTTAGCTGGCAGTCGACCCTTGGTGGGCTGGCGCTAGGCGTGCCTCATAATTTATATGGAAGGGGCGCAAGGTTTTTTGTGTGACTTTGTGAATCTATTTCTACTTCGTTTTTGGTAATTTTTATACCTGTCATTCTAATAATTTTGCCACCGCCTACTGGTTGCGTTAGCCATACGTGAAGTTGTTTCCGGTGTGGCGGGCGTGGGGAGGGAGAGGCGGAGATGTTGCCGCCCATTGTCCATGTGGTGGCTATGCACAGTGGCACACGTCACTGGGCATGAACTCCGCTTTCATGGATTGTTTTTTTTCTTCTTAGGTATTGGTGAAGATTATGTTCCAAAAGGGACCATGCATACGATGTTTGGAGTTGGGTTATTGTAGACGTGAATCTCTGCAACATAGACCATTGGATCGACATCAATTGATGGGTGATAGCACGTTTCAGCTTAAGGGTTCAAATTTCAGAATTGGCAAGATAAGTTTGACGACCCCCTGGTGAGAGAAAGTTTTTTATTTTCGAGCATAGAGGTTTTTGAGTAAATTAAGAGTTTGCAAAGGAACCTAAGCCCAGCCCAGCCGTTTCATACGCTAAGCCCAGCCCAAATGCATTTATGTTCGTTTCCACGAGAAAGGAAAACCTAACACTCCGCCGCCGCCTCCGCCGTCGTCACTACCACACACACACACACACAAGCAGAGCAGGATGAGCTCCCAGCCGGCGACCATGGCGGCGGCCGCACGAGCAGCAGCGACGCATCTCCTCCCCGCCTGCCCCCCAAAGCCATCCTCCGCTGCCGCGTCGTCCGCCGCGCCTGGCGCCTTGCCACATCCACCCGCGACTTCCTCCTCGCCCACCACGCCCGCCAGCCCACCACCCCCCTCCTCTACAGCTACAACTGCGCCGGCGACGTCGTCGAGTCCCTAGACATCATTCCGTTGGACAACGTGGCAGGGGTCGACCAGCTCCAGTACAGCGCGCGACTTGGCATTCGCAGCGTTTGCGGCCACGGCCTCCTGCTCCAGGACTCCTGCGATGGGCTCCTCCTCCTCTCCCTCTACAGCACGCACTTCTCCATCTACAACCCGTCAACTCGTCAGTATGCTCCCCTCCAGCAGCTTAATGGCTTTATGCCCTTGGGGATGTACCGGCACGGCCCTACCGGCGAGTACCGATTGCTGCTGCACCCGTTCCGGAGGTCGATGGCGCCTGACGCTCAAGATGGCGCCTACGTCTTCTCTTTAGGCTCCGGCCAGCTGCCAAGGTACATAGGGTGCTCTGAATCTGATACACGGGAAGTGATATACCTTTCAGCTGGATCTGTCCTGTTCCATGATAGTCTGCATTGGTACATGAACCACATTGTAATGGTATTTGACACCATTGCTGAGTTGTTTCGGTCGATGCGATGTCCGATTGTAATTGGCTGCGTGGACCTGTTTGAGATGGGTGACATGCTTGGCATGTTTAGTCTCAATTATGAAGGGACAAGCATTGAAATCTGGGCGATGCAGGACTACGAAGCCGAGATCTGGGCCTTAAAGTACCGGGTCGAATTTCCGGTTGCAGAGATCAGCTTGCAATGTGGAAAGTTTGACCATCACTGGGAGGTGATTGTCACTTCATGGGACAGTGATGTGCTCGTGCTGCTCAAATTTGATGATTGGTTACTTCAGGTTGGCATGGAAGGCCAGTTGGTTGCCAGTTTCCATCGCAAAGGCCTCCGTCCTACTCGACTTCGACTCAAACAAAGTCTAGTTTCACATGCCTTCTTTCCGACACTGGAGGGTTATGTTGTGAATGGCTCGCCTTTCATCAGATGATAATGTGGTGGATACACACATCCTTTCATCTGAGGGTTGTTGGCTGTGGTGGTGCTTCTTATGGCCTCACTCTGTATCCACATCAGCTGTAATATTCAGGGTCAGTTTGTCTCAGCTACAGATTCTGCAGAGGCGGATTTTGTTGAATTGAATGCATTGTGACTTTATGAGCCTGCTAGCTTCTTTGTTGAAGTCTAAAAGCTTAAGATCGAGAAGCTCTGACTACACGGATGTGTTATGTTCCTTTGAATATCCTTTTTGTCTGATGTGGCTGCCATGAGTGTTGATGTCAAAATTACAAGCCATTTGGGTAAGTGGTATGCGTAGCAAGTTGCACCCGACTGGGGTAAGTGGTATGCATAGCAAGTTGAAATGGTCAGCAGCTGCCATGAGTACCATGCATAGCAAGTTGCACCTGATTTTGTTCAAGAGTTCAGAACACTAGTTAAACTGAAAGATTGCATTATAACTCTGGCTAAGTATTGAAACATAATATAATTCTGCTTATGTGTTGCATCTTTTGGAACTATATTTATCATTTCACTTTAGCTGCTATCCATTTCAAGTAGACACTTCATGTGATGTTCGATCTTAACATCGGCTTGGGAAAAAATGTACTGATAAACCAAAGGACGGTTTATCATGGTCTGGCTCAGGTCCAAGATTGTGCACCCTGTTGGACTGCAAGCCATGTTCATTTTTATCTGTAAGCAGTGCAAGACTATCATAAGTACCATTGGTTGAAAGCAGATTGCGTCAAGCAGGAGATCACGAGGAAATGTGTCTCAAGCAGATTGTGTCAAGCTCCCTCCAATTACTATTTTTTGTGGGAGTTTAATCATTTGCTTCTGGATGTATTATGTGCCATTGGTAATTGCTCAACTACCCACATTTAGTTTTTTGCAGTATGCGCGTTGGCATCTCCGTGTGTGTGAGTTTATTTTCCTGTGATGAATGTACATACTGGTGAATTGTGTGCATTTGTTGTTACAGTTTACTCTTCGATGGTATATAGTACAAGAATAACACCTAGAATATCAGTGCTGATGTTGATGCTTTCAAGTCATTTGGGCCAGCGTTTGAAATGTCTGTCAATTGCTCAGACTCATATCTCTGTTTTCTTAAACTGAAGAATGTACCTTTTTCCCCTTAGCAGGAGTTGTCTTCTTAGTACTCAATACTTGTTAGCAGTTCAACCCGCCTCTTGTCTCTGCTTGTCTCTATTTGTCCATTTATCAGATCTTCTTTCTCAGAGATCACCTGGTGGTCTTAATACTAGAATTTAGCGAATATATATATATGTGTTTCCTGTTTGTTTTGTTTTAGCTGATGATGAAAGGAGGCAGATCATCCTCCTTGCTGACTAGCAAGTTGCAGCCGATTTTGTTCAAGGGTTCAGTGCACTAGTTACACTGAAAGATTTCATTATAACTCTGGCTAAGTATTGAAACATATTATAATTCTGCTTTTGTGTTGCTTCATTTGGAACTATATTTATCATTTAACTTTAGCTCCTAACAATTTCAAGGAATCAACGTTTCATGTGATGTTGATCTCAACATCGGCTCGGGAAATGGAACTTGTACTAATAAGTGATAAGCAGAAGAAAGGATTATCATGGTTCATCCCAGGTCCCAGATTGTGCATCCCTTTAGACTCTGTAACCGCCAGCCATATGTTCATTTTTTCTCTGTGAGCGGTGCAAGATCATCTTGAGTACCATTGGTCGAAAGCAGATTGCCTCAAGCAGCACATCACCAGGAATTGTGTCTCAAGCAGATTGTCTCAAGTTCACTCCAATCATTTGTTTCTGGCTGTATTATCTGACACTGGTAATTGCTCAGCTATCCACATCATTTGGAGGTTACTCACATTCAGTTTTCTGTAGCATGCACATTGGCATTTGCGTCCATGTGAGTTCCCTTTTTCCTGTTTGATAAATGTACATACTGGCGAATTTTGTGTGTCTGTGTGTGGTTAAAGTTTACATTGTTGGTGGAATATAGAAGTTTAACATCCAGATTATTATATTACAGTGTTTCTACAGTCTGAAACGAGCAAAAAGTATCTTGATCTCCAACTGTATTCTCTGTTTTTCTTGTTGCAGGGTTTCACCTTTTTTACCTGAGCTGACTGGTTGATTGCATGCACGGCCAATATATGAGTAACCATGAAGAAAACTAGCATGTCAGAACAAAAGGGTCTAGGTATGCTCTGCTTATCGAACTAGGTTGCTTTTTTGGTGTTCTTAATACAGTATATTTGAGTGACCGTGAAGAAAACTAGCATGTATATGTAAGAAGGATACCAGCCAGCTATAGATTTGACCGTGAGCAACTTGCTCAATTGATCGCCTTGGGTTAATTGACAATGGGATCTAACTGCTGGAGAGTTAACTTTTACTCCAGCTTGCATGCCCAGGAACTCATGCATAAAATTTGATTGTTTGAAAACAGGGATATACAGTGACCTCAACCGAGATAACTTACATCCTAGTAATACATTATTTTAGTTAAGTTGCGCAAATACATTTTATCAGAAAGGTGAAGCCCTTTATTTATAGTGAACTAAAAGCATGGAAAAACGTACAAACAGGAGACAATGAAATTAATATGATACCGACATTACACACAACAGGTTGGGCTCCATATTCAGATTAACAAGGCGAAGAGAATTAAGGCTTGGCATCGCCATACCCGGAACCAGAGCCGCCACCACCACCGCTACCACCATTTGCGCCATATCCACTGCCACGGCCGCCACTATTAGAATTTGCATTTGCACTATCTTGTGCATAGCGGTAGTTACTAACTGCATTACTAGAGCTAGATCCACCACCATTAACAGATCCATGACCATTAGATCCATAATAACCTCCCGTTGCTTGGCCTCCACCACCACCACCACCAGAGCTAGTATATTGTATATCCTCCGCGACCACCACCATATGTGTCACTATATTGACTAGAGCCTGAGCCCCTGCCAGATCCACCACAACAGACCCGGTTCCACCGGATTGGCTACTGCCACCACCTCCGCCTCCACCCCCGCCGCTTGCATGGGTACCACTGCTGAAACTCTGAGCAGACCCAGTTCCACCCCCGGAACCTGAGCCAGCACCACTCACTTCACCTCCACCCTCTCCCCCTCCTGACCATGTTCCTTCAGAACTATATCTAACCACCCTTGCAACATTGGCTAATACAATGCTCAGGACGACAATAAAACCGAGAGCTGCTAGTTTTGTACCTGCCATTGTGGGAATTTAAGATGAGATGAGCTCCTGGTAAGTGTTTACAGGTATTTATAGTGCCGGAGGCCATGCACTCATCTTCTGTTAAAAGCATGTAGGTAGAGTGCTTACAGAAAAAAAAGACATTTAATTTATTGACTTGAATATACAACTCGTCCATTAATTTCTTTAGATGTGGTACTGAGTGCTTACATGGAGTGGACAGGAAGATTTGTAACGTCGCATACATATATATCGTATATATCGGCGAGGTGATGTATCAGAAGGTAAAACCCAAACCACGTTCATGCCTGCACCATTGATATGATCATCTTGTCAAAATTTGCTTTCAAAATTTGCACTAGCTTGCCCCATAGTTCTAGGTCGTTCGCTTAGTCAATATAGATCTAGTGCTAGTGGTTACCTCCGTCTCGGTGAATAAGTCATTCGCGTAGTTCTAGGTCGACGATTTAACTATCTAAATATGTATTATATGTGACAAAAAATATATATTTAAAAACTACATCTGTGTAGAAATCTAGTGATATATTTTTCATGACATACAACACATATTTAACTCCTCAAATCGATGACCTAGAACTACGTGAATGACTTATTCACCTAGACGGAGGTAGTAACAACTTCCACACCAAACGAAGGGAATTTCTAGAAACGTGAGCACAACTATTTTTTTTAAAGTAGCAAAGCTTTGGAATAAAATTTTCTATAATGGTCATAGATGAAAATGAAGTTTAAAAATTCTAACTCTAACTTCCTAGTCTAACAGCTGGAGCCTGCAAAACAGAAAATAAATAAAAATAACAATACATGAGAATAAGATCATGGACCTCCCGACCATTCATGGCTAGTGGTGGGGGAGGACACCCCTCCATAGAGACCATGAAGGAAAAAAAAACTTCATGGCACTAAGACCATGAAGGAAAAAAAACTTCATGGCACTAAGTCATGATGGCGGTAGCCTAGTAGCGCTTGCGGTGACCATGGCCCTGCTGGGAGAATGTCTGAGCATGCCCATCAGCATGGATGCGATGGATATGGTGGTGTGGTTCCAAGATGGTGATGTGGAGCCTTGGAACTCCCTAGAGGTAGATGATCTATGTCTACACTAAATGTTTCACTTTTTTGTTAAATCCGACGAGGCACTTTGTGAGAGAAATAAGCAAACCAAAAGTGATGGATTTTGTTATGTGTTATAAGTGACTCCCTTCCCCATCTCGTGGCACAACATGTACGACTAAATTGATGATTTGTTAGTCGTTAACCGTAATCGAGCAATTTATGTTACTTAACCATATGACGTTCATAGTTCTCATTGCAAGCCAGTTGGCACAAACACAGATAATTTTATTCATATATACATAGTGATACATTGACATGGTACATTCTTGGTATATATCACAAGCACTACTGCATGTTTCACTAGAATAACGAAGCCCTTATTTGATGATATGTAAGATGATAACGAATAAATAAAAAAAGTTGGAAGACATCTATTTGACACATCAGATTGGGCTCCATACTTTTAGATTCCTCACGTAAAGGAAACTAGGGGTAGGCATCACCATACCCAGATCCAGCACCTCCGCCTCCACCACTTCCACCATTTGTTCCACCGCCATTGCCAACACCATTTCCACCAGCATATGCATTTGTACTACCTTGTCCATACCAATTGTTATTAGCAGTAGCTGAGCCAGAACCAGTGCCACTACCAGCCCCATATGCACTAGATCCATGGTAACCACTA